CCCCAAAAAAAAAAAAAGAAAAAGAAGAGGGTGCTTGCTATCAATACTGTGAAGCCCCAAAGGCTAACCCCAAACTCCCACAGCTTCGGAAACCAGTTGGATCGAGGCTCGGTCTTTCTCCAGAGAGCTTGGGTCGTAGAGCAGATCCTTCGAGCACTCGGATTTTGTCTGCTGGGGTCTCGCGGCTTAAGCAGAGGGGGTTCATCGGTTCATCATGCAGTTTCCGGGCTTAGGCGGGAAACCTCGAACAGGATGCCCGGATGTATATCAGCCAGAAACTACTTTCGAAACGTGCAGGTCCGAAGCTTGCGGGTAATTCCGAACATGCAACACAAGAGTCGCTTTGACAAGGACCGAAAAAAGGAGGGTCTCCTGACCTGGCCCCCCCCCGGTGCCCGGATGCTCCCTGTCCCTTCCGATCTTGTCTCCCGTCCGTCTAAGAGCTGTCGAAAGTCGATTGAGCACCCGACTTCGGCCAGGCATCCCTGAAGAAGCCAAGTGAGTCCTTCCAGCTGGTGTTGAGGATGTGCTTCCCTTGGCACGACTCGTCGTCGCAGGGCTTCCCAAATACTACCTCGGGTCGACAGCTCCCCGCCGCCGATTCAAACCATGAACCAGAGACATCTTCGGGAAGCCCTGTACTTATGACCCTTGCACATTCCTGACAAGATCTGGGCTTGCTGGGTTCTCAAGACTTCGCCGGTCGAAGAACAAACAGCCACTAGCTGGGGTCTGACCTCTTCTGGAAGATAGGCCCTGAGTGTTTCATACTGAGGAATCCCCCGTGACCTAACCCAAAACATACTCCAAGCCGTAAGGCAAAGGTCTACACCCTTCATCATAACCCTCCGACAACTCAAAGCCTTAAACCCCGACCCGTGGCCCCGAGACCCGACCAGCAAGCCCACAAAATCCTTCAGCCCTAAACCCTAAAACGCCTGATTCAACCCTAAACCCACACGGTCCTTACAAGACTTGAAACCCTCAGATCATCTCAGACCCCCCAACTCCCGAATTACGCCCCGACGTCCTTAGAACCCCTCGGAGCCCTCAATCAGTCCTGAAAGCCCAAAGACCCCTTAGTCCCTTTTTATACCCCTCAAAAACCGGTGCACCCTTAGAAACCCTCAGAACTCGAGGCGATGAGGTCCAGGGCGCCATGAGGCCAAAATGGGCGAGGGCATGGAGGAAGATTACAGAGAGGCCCATGCCGCACTTGAAGCCCAGGCGCCGCCCTGCCGCGTCTATGGGGAAGACGGGTGTGGAAATAGGAGTTTATAGGGATTATAGGGGTATAGACCAGGCGGTGTTGGGAATAGGATGCTTTGAAAGGGTCGTGCATTTAGCAGTTTAGCCTTGAGGTTTCCTCGTGCACCAGTGACTATACTCAGGCACTAGAGAAACACACACACACACACCCCACTTATTTCCATAAGCTTACAGTATACAATCAAGCTAGATACTGCCACGCATACCAGAAGCCATGCAACACCTTTGACGAGAACCAGACTGCGGGTTCCTGGCCTTCGCGGAAACTGATCATGATGCGGTTTCTCATCAGGACGTAGTACGCCCTCATGTGCAACATCTTCCACAAAGCCAGCCTTTGTCACAAGTACCATCCATTTCCGGTGCTGCTGCGAGGCTTTGAGTGGGAGTAAGCCGCCAGACTCAACAACGGAGTCGTGGTCGCCATGTCTACTTGTCTCCGGAGCAGTCATTGAAGCCACATGGCCGCGTGCTAGACAGCTGCTTCAACATGTGCCGTTGAAGCCCTTACATCCCAAATCCTGGTTTCATGTCCGACGCAGCACCCATGCACGCCCTCCCCAGACCCCAAGTCAAGACCCTATACCCTTAAATCAGACCCTGAAGTCCTGAACCCTAAAGCGGCCCAGGGCACAGCACGGGCAAAGAGAGGCCCAGAACAGGGAAGATCCGCACCGCCGGCGTCGTCCAGTCGCAAGCGCTCTTCACTTGAAAGGAGTGGCCCTCGCCTTGGCTCAGAGACTTTCGGGCTTCAGGGTGTTTGGTCCTTGGGGCTTCAGACTGTCGGGGTTCAGCGGCTTCAGGCTTTTGGTGTCTTTGGGGCTTTGGGCTTCGGGGTTGCAGCATTTCACGGTCCCAAGAGTCCCAAAGAGGTTCACTGAAGTACGTCCTGGGACAGAATAGGACACAATGTCCGGCAGATACCATGCCAGGGACGACTTGTTCCAAGGAGCACCATCTGAAATCCCATGTGTTGTATACTGCTGTAGATGGGTACAAGCCCAGGGCCTAGACCTGAGTGTTTCGCAACCTCGGAGCCGGGCTTACCGTTGGGAGAAATTGCAGAAGCCCCACCAAACAACTGAGTCTGAGCTCTCTATCGGCGTGTCGTGGGCTCACTAGTCGCTTATCGCAATTTCAGTCGCCTTTAGAATCAGCAAGCAGGGACTTGCGATGCGTCAAAAGATCCTCCATCATGGATTGGGAGAGAGAACATGTTGAAGTCAATCTCTCTGGCTCTTGAAGCCGGATCTTAGCTTCCCTTCGGCGGCAAACCATGAAAGCAGAACCCGAGACTCTGGGAAGCTGCAAAAACCCATGCTCAACGACGCATCCTCCGGTGTACTCAGCTGAGCACCTCTACTAATAGTAGTCGTGAAGCAATGCATCATGAAGCCACTCTCCTGAGGCGTGCTGCTGAAGAGCCTAGGATTGCAATGGCTTGCAGCCGCAGGCAAAAAACATGCAATGCCTTCAAAGCTTGCACAGACCCCTCCGCTAAGAGGTGTCAGAGTAATTATCTGGGCTGAAGGGCAGGAGTCCGCCTCAAGGACAAGAAAGAATTTACTTTACCACATACGTTGTCGGATTGAACCAATTAACGAATCACGAAGTACAGCAGCGTGGAGCACGCCGGAGTTGCGTAGAATGAAGTTCTGCAAAATGGCCATACTGGGATTTGACGAATTGCCAAAGGACAGCACTTGGTTGGCAATCATGGGTGCATTTAGGGCCCCTGGGCCCCGGAATCTGTCACTCAAGACCGCACGGAGCTTCACTCACTGCAGAGGCCGCAGTTTAGGCGCCTCTGGCCCTTCAGCCGGGCCGCCGTGGGTTGTTGTAGGAAACTACCAGAGCCATGGGCGCCAAGATCTGGCCGAGCCCTGACCAGATGAGGACGAGCAGAGTCGAGGGATCTCCCCACTCCTCCATCACGGGCCTCGGAGACTCAGGAGCCTTCTTTGTGCCCGCGGGAAAACCTGCTCGATTCTACAGGGCTATAGGGCTGCTAGGTTGCAAGTTCACTGTCACAGCTGCCATAGCTGCTCCGAGCTGGCAGATGCAGAACCCACAGCTTCGGACCCAATTATGGCCGGTCTCATGGACCCTGTGCCAAACCCTCGGGAAAAGCCGGTGACAGAATTGGATCCAGGCCACACCTCTGCACAGGCGCCATACGACGGCGCTGTCTCTTTGCCGATGCTTTCCTTCTCAGCTATAGCCTCCCTTTCGGCAGCCGCCATTTGCGGTCAAAGACCTGCAAGACAGGCGCAGTGAATCAAGTAAGGGGACGGACATTGCTTTTCGGAATTCGAAGCGAAGGCTAGTGTACATACACAAATTACCCCACTAGTGTGACCCACCGCTCCGAAAGCTTTACTAGCCAAGCAGCCGTGCTTCTCGAGGAAAACGTAGATCGTACCCCACAGATCCGTGGGGGTGGGCATGATGGGCTTAGAAACTCGAGCAGAAAACAGCCCAAGGCCGACGTCCAAAGAAGCTTTTACGTAAGACTTCAGGGGGAAAAACTGTAGGTTTTCGCTCGTGGCCTGAAAAGTTGCTTATTTGATGCCTAGCCAGAGCAAGGTACCACTGTAGGGTTGCTCCCGACGACGATGCTGCGAGCAATACTCATACGGACGCCACCACTGTCACAGACAATAAGAACTTATTATGAGTAACAAACTTACACCCCATCTACAAGATGTTGGCGTCCTTGCAATAGCAAGTCCAGAGATGCTCAGCGACAGTTTAAGCCCTGAAGCTGAACGTTGCAAGTCGCTGGAGGCACGGGTCATGCAAGGAGGTTGTATTCAAGGCGTGGAAGCTGACAAGTACAGTAGACAAGCCCTTTCGACAATACTATGGCTCTTATCCTCAGCCCTCCCTGGAAGTGCCCTGCCAGGTGCCCCCGCCGCTTTGGGGTGCTCAGCTGCGGAGCCACAGGAACCTAGGCAAAGGCGCAAGGTCAAGGAGTTGAAGGCTCAAATCTACTATAGTTGTATGCCGAACTAAACCCTAAACCCTAAACCCTGATCCCTAAATCTCTACTGTAGGGGCCTAAATAATTACCAACACTCTTTTGGGGGCTCCTTATTAGAACCCCTCTTCCAATGATTTAGGCCCCTGTTTTACCTTCGTTAGCGGCCAAGTCAAAGACACCGGGCTGCCGGGCTGTCAGGGCGGGAGCCCAAAGCTGAGAAGACCTGGGAGGGACAGGCGACAGGCGTCAGGGCTGCAGGACTTTGGGTATGTCTGAAACATAGGTAAGGGTATCAGTATCAGGCTAGGGGTCTTTATGATGAGGATCCTGTTGTATAGCGTTTCTATTTCGGGGCTCAAGACCAGAAATATGTTCATGCCCCGTCAAGGGGGGGGGGCCACTACCAACCAGGGCTCTGCGTTACCCTTCATCCGCCGGGTCATCCGCGAACTCCGAACAGGAGTCAGTGACTCTGAAAGCAATCCTGGCGGCAGGTCTTCGTCTTGCGAGTGCAGCCGTAAAGGCTGGTCTGCAAGTAAGTTGGTGAGACCGACCCTCAAGAAGACCAAACTAAACCCTCTACTTACCGCCCAAATCCTGAACTAAGGGCCAGGCCCGTTCGGACGCAGAGACTTCGGCCAGGGTTTGGCCTGGAGGAAATCGGCACATTTCAATAGCTGTCGAAGGAAGACGTATGGGCATTGTAGCAGCTAGCATATAAGCCTGCAGCCTAGACACTGCCATCAGAAGTTGCATGCTGAGGTTATAGAAACTTGCACTATTGAGTGCCTAAGCTCTACGTGCAGCTCTCCGAGGCAGCCCGAAGGGAGGTCACCACCTAAACTTAAACCCCAAAGCCCGAATCCTCAAGCCTTCGGGCTTATCAAATCACACCTCACACCCGCAAAACCCCAAAGCCCTGAAAACCTTCAGACCCTCAAACCTTAAAGCCCTCAACAGCGGCTCTTTCCCCGGGGCTGCGGTAACTCTGGCCTTCTCAGCAGAACCCGTCGTTGCGGCCGTGCCTACAAAGGGATAGTCCTAGAGATGCGATGAGATCGTAGGTATTCTGAGCGCATGCGGGGGTTCTGTAAGTGTAGCATTGTTTGGGGAGCGCAGGGTTGGAGTGGGAGAGAAGTCTGCAGGACGGCCCCCCATTTTGTCGGCATCCACTCGCAGGCTGACGAAGAAGGCGCTGACCTGAATGCGGCGTCGGAAGGGCATGGTTTATGTTCAACCTGTAGGGATTAACAAGGCTTCGGATTTTGGGATTCGAACTTTAGTGGTAATCCGGTAATGGACCCGAGTCCCTTCTCTCCAGAAAGTGGCCTCTGGTGCGAAAGACCCTTCCCACGGATGCTCTGCGCTGGAATACGGATGCTCTGCGATGGAACACCACCACTCATCTGATTTGTCCAGTTACCCCCGCCCCTGCCACCAACAGTACACCGACTGTGAATGAAATTTACAGCAGCAGCAGCAGCAGCAGCAGCAGCAGCAGCTCAACATCAAGGAGGATAGAAAGTGTGACAGGTAGTAGCAAGACGAGTCGCAACCTCTGATGAAGGCCGATGACGAAGAGTTCTCCGTCATGGCGACACATACAACAATGGTTCCTGATCTACCCCCAGCCCTAAACCCTCAATCCCCTATCTATCTTATCTTGAGAAAATAAGGGCAACTCGCTCATATGCCGGCCTGTCAAAGACGAGAACTTCCCGGGCCGAAAGCCTCACAGGGCACAGTGCGGTCACAGCTGCGGTCTGAGATCCGGAATATACTCTCATATACTACAATAAGTTACTCAATATACTATGCTATAATCTACATTATACTATACTATAACTATACTGTAATGATTCGGGAACCAGACCCTCGACCTTGGGGCTTTGGTGGTAGACAGCGCAGCAGAATCACGGGCAGCTGCCGTTGTTGCCGCTCTTATCTATACTGGAAGCCACCCAGACTAGAAAGCCACTAGCAAAACAGGGAGCTGCAATGGTGAGGAGAAGGATTCGCAACCAAAGCTGTCGTCGTCCGAACAGCTGTTGAAGCAGGCGAGCAGACGGATCGAAAGAGAGTGAGCAAGTGAAAGCGCGCAGCCTTCGTCATGATGTCGCAGCCCAGCGAGCACATCGCATTGAAAGCGCTGATCTGCGACTGAACCTCTCCACAGACGGAGCATGAAAAGATCCAATGTTGCTCGGTTCGTTAAGTCTTACTATATCTCTCGCCAATGTCGACCCTGCCTTACGACAGCATCCTGCACATCTCCGGCATTTGAATTTGGTAAGTGGGCTCGCAGATTGGAATTTAGATGCATAGCACTTGAGTGCACTTGACCTTTCAACCGCTGGACAAGCCGTGGCAAAGCCTGCGGAGTTCCTTCCTCTCGAAACCGCATAGCATTGAGCTTCTGAACCCGAGCAGTATACTTCTGCATCATTTACACGAAAGATCATGGTGGGATCGATTCGCCGCTCGGTGCCTGCACGCCGTGACACCAGCCAATCGGACAGAATAATAAATGGACAAGCCGCCCACCGTGAAGTCCCAAAAATCCAAAAAGCCCTAAGTACTAAGTCTCCAACACCAACTTTCTTAAAACTGCACTGAGTCGCTGGCCCTGCGATGCTATCCGATTTAGGGTTCATGAGTCAGGATTGAAGGGTTTAGGGTTGATACACCCTTCACCCCAGTTCCAGGCATGAACGGACCGAAGACTTGGCGGGGCCCCGGCGTCTCCGTGGGCGGCGCTCGAAGAGCCTTTGGCCACCCTGGGAGGCAGCGCAACGTCGGATCTGGGCTTTGGCTTCGACTAGGGTTTCGGTTTGGGGGAATTGGGCTTGAGGGTTTGGGGATCATGTGCTCTTGAACAGGCAGCTGGATGTGCTTCTCCAGAAGTTGCTGCAGGGTTGGAAGCGAAGGTGGTTTTCTCTCCCCATTAAGATCCAGAGCGCCAAACAGTGTTGGAACATCGATCTGTTTGCAGTCCCCCGCCAGCATTGCAACAACGATGGACTCAGGTTCACGATTGAGCGCTCAAAGCCTGAAAGTCTTCAAGGAAATCTCGAGCCTCATGGCCACGCCCTGGATGATGACCTCAGTGCGGTAGAGCCCTGGGGCCGGGCATATGGGTTTGGGTCAGTTTGGGTTATAGCAAACCTGCACTCCTCGACCGCAGAGAGGCCTCAGCTTCCCGGAGTTGGGGGTACGAAAGCGCACATTTCGGGCTTCAGTGGAAGCTGCCCACCTGTCCACTTGACTTAAGATGGAGTGAGTGACTATGCAACTGCAAAAGATATTCAATTGTATGCTCACACCTGGCCACTAGTCTAGGATTCATGATTCACACTTCCGCAAGCCTGCATCTCGTGAATTCTCCTGTGATATTGCGCAAGTTCAGGACGCGTCCAGTCGAAACACTACGTAGTACTACACCATGACGGTCTCATGATTCAATGATCGCGCTATTCACTAATTCGGTGATCACCATCATGTGTTTCCTGAGCAGCATCAGCATTCATGCAGCATCACGTTTCCATCATAGCATCTTGGTCGCTGCGGCATTCATCCACACCGTCGTCATAAAGCTCGAACAATCATCACAACCTTCATGTAGCCATCAGCGCCATCAACAACCGTCATCATCTATGGCCTCGACATCGTCATCGTCGTCATCATCGACATCAAGGTCACCATCGACTTCATCATCGTCATCATCATCACCACCATCATCACCATCATCATCACCATCATCATCCTCGCCGTCGCCATCGCTTAGCTCTCTGCCATTCGCTGCCTATGACAACTGGCACTGTCTGGGCCTAGTGGCCGCGAGTCGGAAGCAGGCGAAGGCCACATAGAAGCTCCAGTGGTCGATGGGGTAGTGGACCTTGAGAAAGAATCTCTCGGGGCTTCGGGGGGCAGTGGACCTTCGGGGCCATGGCAGGCTGGACAAGTCCCGATGCACCATCATCATCAGCATCATCGCCATCATCATCATAATCGTGGGAGGGCAGGTGTAAGTGTAAAGGAGCCGATGTCTGTACACATGGACATATTTGTCAAGCTTCGAATCAGCGCAGAGGCCCTTTTGCTTTGAGATGCATGCTCGGGCGGGCACACCACCCCATGCCTCCGACTTCACGGCTTGTTGTTGAGGTGAGACAGGGCTCCAAGAAGATCACTATGAAGGCGATGGCGGCTCCGTCTGCTCACCAGCGTCGCTGATGTCTTGCCTCACCTGCATGCACACGA